TTTTGTTTTAGCGTTTAGGGTTTAGGGGACCCATACAGTAACTTTTTTCAGGGTTTAGGGTTTGGGGGTTTAGTATAGGGTTTTAGGGTTTAGGGTTTAGGGAACCCTCAATGGAGCCCTTGCAAAACCCTCACAGACTTGAAACCCAAGCTTCAAAGCCTCATTTGGTAGACCGTTCTCAAACCGTAAATAGCCCCAGAGAAGACGCAAGTGATTAAATCCCTTACCCTCCATGATTCGCCAAACTTCGATTAAGCCCAATCTAGAATCCCGAAATCCTAGCCTGAACCCCTAAACCCTAAACCCTAAACCCTAAACCCTAAACCCTAAACCCTAAACCCTAAACCCTAAACCCTAAACCCTAAACCTTAACATACTCCACTTCCTCCAGTCTCCAAGAGGCCGCGGCCCTCGATTCTCTGACGCGAGGGTCTGGGCTCTCGGCTGCGCGGCCTGCGCTGCCGGCCTTAGAAACCTGGCGCCTTGCGGCAAAGAGAGGGGTTTAGGGTGTAGGGTTTAGGGTTTAGGGTTTTTTGGTATAGAGGTTTTACAGGGTTTAGATGGGGCTTAGGGTTTTTTGGGGTTTTTGGTTTAGAGGGTTTAGAGGGGCTTGGGGTTTGTTGGGTTTTTGTTGGCTTAGAGGGTCTAATTATAGGGTTTAGAGGGGCTTAAATTAGGGTTTTTTGGACTTTTGGTTCAGAGGGTTTACAGGGTTTTTTGGGCTTTTGGTTTAGAGGGTTTACAGGGTTTAGAGGGCTTAGGTTTTGGAGGGTCTTCGGGTTTAGAGGGTTTAGGGTTAGAGGGTTTAGGGCTTAGAGGGTTTGGGGTTTAGAGGGCTTCGGGTTCAGAGGGTTTGGGGTAATTCGGGGCGGGCCTTACAGTTAGAATAGGGTTCTTGATAAAGGGCTCTATTCGAGGGGCAGAGGCGAGAATAATGGTTGTGTATAGGGACCGCAATAAGCCTCCAAAAATGGGCACGGGTGCAAGAAGAGCAACAGTAGCGTAATAGTGGCAGCCATCAACAGAAGCGTTGCAGCACATTCGCATTAGTATAGTCGAGGTCGGGCTGAACACTAAAACCCTTGAAAAAAAAACACCTTTAACTCGCAAACCCCCTAGACGCCTAACCCTCAAACCCTAAACGCTAAGCCCTAAAGCCTTAAACCCTAAACCTCAAGCCCTAAAACCCTGAAGCCTATAGACTCAAACACCGAGGCTCCGGAAGAATGTGGCTTTGGCCTCGGCTGTGGCCGCCTACCTCGGTGGCAGGGCAGTGCTCCACGGCTACAAGGCCTCTCCTTTTGAAAATGCCTAAACCCTAAACCCTAAACCCTAAACCGTAAACCCTAAACCCTAAAACCCTAAAATCAAGAACCCTAAAGCCCCAAACCCTAAACCGGGTCTTCTGGGTTGTGCTTCTTGGCTTTTCTTTGAGGCGCCAGAGCCCTTCAACCCTAAATAAGCGGTTTAGGGGTTTAGGGTTTAGGGTTATAAGCCCCAACCCAAATGTGAATATATCATCTGCCAAGGAGAGAGACAAGAGTTTCTGCTTTGGTTTCTCTGGTGCTTAGGGATTACCGCGGGTCTTCTTGAAGGCATGCTGGTCTTGCGAGTTAAGACTCTTCCTGAAGTTATATCTGGGTTCTTACCACGAAGTAGGGCCATAAACTTCCGTAAATCAAGCCGCACCTAAACCCGAGACGGCAATCATTCAAGCTTCTTTATATGTATTAGGGTTTAGGGTTTTGGGGTTTAGGGCTTAGGGTGTAGGGCCTATATTCCTATATTGTGGAGTGTTGGGCCCCGGTTCTCGGCTGTCATCCTCGAGCAAGGCGATCTTGCAAGTCTGTGTGGAACTTATTGTTTTCTGAATTAGGGTCCTGTTTTTAAGGGTTCCTTGTATTTACCAATGCAGGATCCTACCGTTATTTGAGGTCTATGCCTTCTTTTCGAACATGTCGCCGCTCGCTGCCACCCACATATTCGTCATAGCACACAAAGCAAAAGCAGCACAATGACAATGGCGATTTGTAGCAGCAAAGATCTGTAGCGATGGCTGCGGCTGTTAGTGTTGTGGCAAGTGCCAGCCATAACCCCACTGAGTGCTGGCTGATCTGGAGCAACTTTGGCTGCTTATGCTAGGGGAGCTTTTCATACCGAGCTTAAACTGCATGTAGGTGAGGCTTCCGGTACTCCCCACATGCATTTAAGAGCCCCCATAGACCTCAAGCACGAAACCCACATCCCCTTCCTAAACTGCCCAGACTCCACCAGCCCCTCCGAAGGTCGTGCACCTTCCGGCCACGCTGAGCACCAAGGAGAGGCTCAGAAGAGCATGGGAATCTGCTTGCTGGGTTTAGGGTTTAGGGTTTAGGGTTTAGGGCGGCTTGGAGTGGAGGATTTTGAGTTTAGGGCGACGGGTGTTCATGGAACAGGTTCGTACTGGTGACTTCTGTTACTTCCTGCTCCTTTGGATCCATGTACCTTTATAGTAGATACTTAGGCCTTAAAGGGGTCTCTATATAGGTACTTTAAGGCTTAAGTATCTACTATATGGGTACATGGAGCCTTAGGGTGCTCCTGTGGATCTAGGAGTTCATCTCCGCGCACTGGCACCACGACCGGGCAGGGCGACGACTGAAGCTGCTCCCAGAATGCTATAATCTCCTAAACCGTTTCTACGGGCTCTGGTCTCCACCGGTTAGGGTTTAGGGTTTATGGGCTTGGGGTTTAGGGTTTAGG